CATCTGCCTGCAGAAGGACTGCCGCTCTTGGTGATTAATTGGGGGAGGGGAGGGGGACAAAATGGGAGCTCTTTTCAGATCCCGGGGGGAGGATTGAGAGGCTCAGATCTGCAGCCAAGGAAAAGCTGGGGGGTGCTCTTCCAGCATCACCTGGAGACAGGCAAGGAAAGATGTCCCTGGGGGCACTTCTCTCACTTTAGCACTTTGCTGTCAAACCCAGCCACAGCCAGTGATTTGAGGGGGGGGAGAGAAAGCATCTCTTGCATTACCAAGGGAGGAAAGGAGACGAAACAAAGCTCACTCTTTCACAGAGACCTACAAAACACCAATCTACCATGTTCCAGGAGTTCTTCAAAATCATCAAATGCTCCCACTTGCAGTTCCCGTGCCTCCCGGCTCAGGTCCCTGAGATGCATGCTCCCACACACAGCAGCAGCGGCAACAACAGTCCCCTCCCCCAGCACCCACTGTCAGCTCTCCCCATTAGTTTTCTAGCTTTGAATTGCTCCTGGATTTCTCTCTTTCCTCCCTCCCTCCCCCGCCTACAGGAAAGGAAAGGGAGACGGAGCCCTGCACAGCTCTTCCCTTTTCCAGCCCTTGCTGCCTCTTCCCAACATCAAAGCCTTGGAAATGCAGGCAAAGCCACCAGAGCAGTAGCGCCCTGAGTTGCTTTGTTCTCCACTACTGCCTCCTCCTCCTCCAGCACCATTTCCTTCTCTGGGTAGAGCGATTCTTAACTAACCAAGCATGCTAAGGCAACTCAGGACACTATCGCTGCAGCCGCTTTGCCTGCGTTTCCAAGGCTTCCATGTTGGGAGAGGCAGCAAGGGCTGGAAAAGGAGAGAGCTGTGCACGGCTCCATCTCCCTTTCCTTTCCTGCCCGCAAGGGGGGGGGGGGGGGGGGGAGGAAAGAGAGATAGCCGGGAGCAATTCAAAGCTAGAGAACTAATGGGGAAGAGCTGACAGCAGGCACTGGGGGAGGGGACTGCTGTTGCCGCTGCTGCCGGGTGTAGGAGCTGGTTGGTGCGTGCATCTCAGCGGCTTGACTCTGGGGTCACTCGGAGAGTCAGGAGGTGCAAGAACTGCACAGCCCAGATTAATTGCTTTTGGGAGCCATTTCTTCTGCGGCTCACCAAAAATTTTCCATGGCCCACCGGTTGGCAACCACCATTTTAAACGGTATTGGGGCTGCCAACCTAGATTTGGCAGGTTCAATGAAACCCCTGTCCAAATTGGTATCAATGTATTTTCTCAACTCAGTCATTTCAACTGGTGTGATGGAATACATCTTTGGTTTTGGCAGTTTTGCCCCGGGTTCTAACTCGATGGCACAATTAGTGGCTTGATGAGTGGGGGTTAAAATGTTGCACTCCTCTTCACTAAAAACTTCAGCCAAGTCCCTGTATTCTTTAGGGGCTTGGGGCTCACCTGGAGGAGAGACTGAAGCAGTGGCTGCTGCTTCTGGTTGTGGATTCCTGTTGGGTAGCAGTTTCTGTGTGGGAGGAAAGGGGGCAGCAGGCCAAACCCAATTAAGATTTTTCGGCATCCGTCTTCCCACTTGATGGTAGGGGCCTATTTATCCAGCAAAGCAAGTCCCAATAGGATAGATTCTGACATTTTTGAAGCCACTACAAAATGTATGAGCTCACGGTGTCTGCCCATCTCTAGTTTGATTAACTCTGTAATTTGGGTGGCTCGGACTCCTCCAATTAAAGTTCCATCTACTTGTTCAAGCCTGATTGGGCATTTCAGGGCTTTAGACTTTATTCCTAATTGTTCAATGAGGGGGAGGCCAATAAGGCATCTGGAAGACCCAGTATCTATTACTGCTTCTACCTCCCCTGCCTCCCCCATCTCAGGCACCACCATCTTCACCTTAACTGTAAAAGGGGGATTGGCAGCATTCACCATGGGGTCCTCATCTTCATCTGCCTCTTCAGGGAGGATTTCTTGGGCCAGAAGTTCCTTTCTCCCTTCTGTGTGGAGGGGACCCTCTACAGCATGTCTAGCAAACCAGCTAGTGTCTGAAGGCTTCTGTGGAATCCTTTGACCCTTGGCAGCTGTACTAGGCCTCAGTTGTGGAACAGGTGCAGGAGCCAGAAAGTCAGCTGTCCTATGACCAGCCTGGCTACATCGATAGCACTTTAGAATCCTTGTGGGTTGGGTAAGAGCAGCTTCAGCAGGTCTGGTCAGAGGCCATCTGGCCGCCATTTTCTTAGGAGGGCCCTCAGAGGGGGCTTTTCCGCATTGGTTGCTTTTTCTGTCCAGCCTAAGGGACATGGCATACCAATCCTGTAAAGTCTTTGGTATTCCTCTGATGCTGCATGCTTTTTTAACTTCTGGGTCAATAGCATTCTTAAAGTAGTGCAAAAGTATTCTGTCAGGCCAGTTCATGAGATTGCTTGCAACCCTTCCAAAGTCCCATACAAAGTCTTTTAAGGGTCGCTTGCCTTGTTTCATTTCCATTATTTTGTCTTCACTTTCCTCAATTCTATCAGGATTCTCAAACCTAGCTCTAAGAAGTCCAATAAAGGCATCAACATCCTGTAGTTCCAGTGCCTCCTCATAGTGCAATTGAGCTACCCAATCAGAAGCATCCCCCTCATTCATCCCATCTGTGATTGTGGAAACCAAGTTGCGATCTGTTGCATATTGGTTTCCAAACTGATCTATGTGAAACCAAATCTGAGTAAGGAAGTAAGCAACGTGTTCACGCCTCCTGTCAAATGTTGCTTTAAAAGCCAATTGACCTGGTCTGGGAGGGGGAAAATCAGTATAGCAATTATGGGCTGAACAGGAATGTGTTGAGCCAGCTGGGGTACGTTAGGGCCCTGTAGGGGTACTCCTAGGGGCGGCTGAACTGGGATCTGCCGAGTGGATGGGGCATACTGGAAGAAGGGGCCCTGCAGAGTTGCTCCAAGGGGTGGCTGAATTGGAACCTTCTGAACAGGGGCTTTCTGTTGAATTCTTCTCCGCAATGGGAAGAGGGGGGTAGTTCCAGCCTGCTCCCTGTGGAGATCCCTTTACTGAGAAGAGATCTCTGCTTCTCTTTGGGCCCAGGATGCTCCCGAATCAGGTGGTGCAACAGGTGCTGGCATCCACTGGCATTGGACCCACCCCTGACCAGGATAAAATCCCCACCCTGGAGGAATACTCTCTGCAGGGGGTAATCTCCTTGCTGGTTGTGGAGGGGGAGGAATTGTGGTTTGTAACATAGTCAGTGTCAGCTGTATCTGCTGTTTCTCCCCTGCTGTTTGGCCCTGGCGGGCTGGGCCGATCCTTAGGCCACCTCCAACTGACTCCATGCTGGTTTCACTCTCAATTCTTGGACTAGGGAAAGTAAAGGTGGGCTGTGTTAGAACACAGCTTGTCTGGAGAAGTTTGTGGCTGTGACACATAACTTTCTACCTTAAGTTGCTGGAATTGCTCTGGGATCCCTGCCAACGACTGGCTTCGGGATGGAGGCAACAGGTTCCAGTCTTGGGAATTATCTGGTTCCAATGTCACCCCACTTCTCCACTCTGTCTCGTGGGCCGTCCTCAGAGGGCTGGAGTAGGAAAGGTGTTCAGGCAGCTTCTTCTGTGGTTTCATGCTCTGTCTGGCAGCTTCTCCATGAATCCGTCTCCTGAGGCCGGTTGCCTGACTTCCATCTCTCCACTGCAGCTTCTATCACTTCAGAAGGAAGGCAGGGGGCCTCAATTAGTTCTCAGCCCCTTCTGTAGCTTCTTTCCTTTCTTTCGTCTTCACTGAGTCTTCGCACTGCTCCATTTTTGGAGTCAGTACTGGGGCTCAGCACCACTTACAGCCCTTTCAGGGTGCTGGAGTTTGTTTAGAGATTCGGGTAACGTCAGCGTTCCAGCAACCCTCCATTCCAACCAATAACTCTGAGACAGACATCTCTCAAAGGTTCCTTTATTTGGATAGTAACTGGCACATCTGTGGAATCCTGAATCTGAAAGTTTCGGGCTTCCTTGCAAAAGTCAAAACTACAACTCCATCCCCCCTTAGCAATTATCACCTCACATGGTCCAATCACCATCCATCCTAAAGTAAGATTCCCATTTCATTATGTGCCACACTCTGTGACCTTGAACCAGCAAAAGAATTTTATTGTGTCTAACTAGATATACTCAAATGAATTCCTCTCAGGATCAATTGTGGCAGCATCGAATCTCAATATGGCTTCCAAAACTGACACAGAGCAAGCCAGAGCACCCCGCTCTCCTTTGCTGTGCTTTGGCTGAGCCTGGCCACTTGCTTGAAGAGGGTCTCTCTGCTAGTGCGCACCCTCCCGGCCCCATCACAGCCATCCAGGGGGCTGCGTAAGGAGGAGGAGGAGGGGTCATGTTCAGGGAAGCCTCCACCGCAGCTCATGTCCACTCCTCAGCCAACCCAGTTTTCTGAAAAGTTGCCAAGAAGAATGAAAAGGAGTAGCGAAGAGCCTGAAAGAGACCTTTCTGGGTCAGCCCAGCCTCGGCTTTCTGAGAGACTAAGAGAAAGAGAGACAGACAGAGAGGGAGGGAGGGAGAGAGGGAGGGACGGAGAGAGAGGAGAGAAAGAGAAAGAGGAGAGAGAAGGGAGAGAGAAAGAGAGAGAAAAGGAGGAGAGAGACAGAGACAAAGACACAGAGACAGTGACACAAAGAGAGAGAGAGACAGAGAGAAAAAGGTGAACAATACACCCGAGGCCAGGTGTGGCAAGAAGTGGCTGGGAGGGGAGTAGTGAGGCATGGCTGGGCAAATAATTTAACAACCAGTTCTCTGCCCTAATAACAGGCTGGGTAGGTGTGGCTGGGGGGTTGTCATGTGACTGGGTGGGATTGAGTGATATCAAGTTGGCCACGCCTAACCCAGTCACACCAATTGTTAAATTATTGGCTCCCAGTGTTTTCTTTTCTGTGGGTAATGGGTCCAAATGGTTCTTTGAGTGTTTAAGGTTGCAGATTCCTGTCATAGGCTATTCTCCTACTTGAAACCTTACTGGATATTTTGTTATTACAGGGGAGCATGGTAGATGATGCCTTACTCTGTCTGAAGAGGAACCTGAACTTTATGAACAGCACCTACTCCAAGGCTTTGCTGGCTTATATCTTCACATTGGCTGGGGACACAGATATCAGGCAACAGCTCCTCAGGGATTTAGAGGAGGAGATTCTCAAAATAGGTAGGAGGTACAGTTCTGCTTAAGAGTGTTCTGTTTGACCACCTACTCTTCTGTGAAGAGGGTGAGTTTTAAGACTTGCCTTACTAGATTATTTTAGGTGCTCATTTGATTTTTATTCATCATATTTTTTAAAGAATGACTTCAGATTGTTCTATTGAAATAGTGCAATGAGACATTCCAATAAAAGCCATTCTTTTGTTCATCATATCTGAGGGAACATTTTTCTCCTATAAATTTCTTTCAGGAAATAAGAGAGGTGGGAAAGAATTGATATTTCTATTGTTGAAGATAAGTGTCAAAGGTCGCTCCAAATTTATTGTTGGTGTTAGAACATGTTCTCCTTCCAGAATTAGTGGGGGTTAAAATGTTGGCTTTTTGATTTTGGTAGGTTGGGGAAATTGGGGAGCAAAATGAATGACTTAAGCATCACAAATATTTACAGCACATATTTCCTCCCTTAAATTTCATGAACCCTCCCTCTCAAAACTTTTTTTTAATAAACTCATATGCTAGAGCTTCCTATTAAAACCCTATTTTGTATGTAGCTCTACAAGTTATATTAATTAACTAAAACAAATACTATAATGAAAGGAAAAGGTAAAAAATTTCAAGGGTAAAAGAGTGCTTCTGCAGTTCCCTTCAGAATAAGAATGTGTCCATTAGGGTAAACTGTTTGACAGTCTAAACTTATTAACGTTTGCTAATAACCTTGGGATTACTTTCTCTTTGGCTTTTCTTATTTCAGTGCAAGAAATATAAGTTTGCCGAACAAAGGACTGGCTTAAAAAGCAACAAATATTGCCATTGGGAACAAATATTGAAAAAGGTCACAGAGATTAGGAACTTAGATTGCTCAGGGTTAACTACTTGATGGGCCTTTTGCTAGCCTATCATTAAGATACCATTTTTCAATATGGAGTTTCTTGGTAGTTTCCCCCGTGTTATGTTCTTAATAGCCTTATAGAGAGCATCATCACAATTCCCATTTTGGCAGTAATATGAAAATTGTTCACAGGCATCTGGAAAGTAAATAATTGAGTAGGGATTTGAATCCAAATGTTATATTCTAATCAGTGACTTTCTATGAACATATCAAGGGTGTAAAAGAGGGCTTCTGAACCACAAGCTGCTTAGTCCTACCATGATTTTAAAATTTTAAAGAAATATAAGTTTACAAGGTAAAATAAAAAACTTATTATAGAAGTTTAAGTAAGTTCTAAGTGGAGCTTGTTATTCCATTGTTGAAAGGCTGGAAAATGCCTTTCTTCTGAGGGCTCAATTTTCCTGCTGGGAGGGCTCCGGTGCAAGGACACAGACAACTGCTTGGAAGCCGGTTTATTTTTCAGAAAGGCAAGAGATAGCAAGAAGTCTGCGTTCCTGGGGCTAGCCATCTTTGTATAATAAACCCCTGATTTTTATACCTTTTCTCCTTTTGTGTGTGTGTGCTTGTGTTTGTATTTCTTAATGTTTTAAATCCTGTCAGGGGTTGTCTTCATTTCCGCCAGAGGGTAAACTCCGCGGGGTGGTTTGATTGGATTATCAGTTTCATCCTAATGTTTTCTTATATTTGTTTGGTGGCAATCTCCTGTCTGCTATGGAATTTATTTCGTGTCTTTTGTCTATTTGTTTTGCTGATTTGGCATGGCCTTTTGTTTGTAAGGGATTTCTTTTCCTTGTTTCCCTAGCTTTCTTAATTACTTGGCTTTTGTCTAGGGGGCTTTTTTCAATACCTTTTATTAAATCTCTTTTCCTATGCAAGTTTGTTTTATGGCTGGCCTGATGTTCCCTTTGGGCTTTTCCTGCTTGGGTGTCACCACTGTCCTCATGAA